AACTGCAGGTATCATACCGACATATTCGACGTCATCTCACTTGTTGGCAGTGGCTGTCGACCTTCTCGCAATCGCAAGGCTGGCGTCTGTGGAGACTGAAACCAAAGCACCATTATTTCGATCATGTTTCCGATTTCATTTTGAGAACACGGATCAACCCGAGCATCGGAGCGGTGTGGGAGGAAGAATCTTTCTTAGGGCGTTTGAAGAAGATAGCTGTCCGCTGCCATGCAGCAACTGCGATGAAACGTTTGATGCAGCGGTATCTACTGCTGATGGGCCTGAGGCTCGAAGAGTCGCGTCGGGTTGCCCAGCGAACCTAGTAAGCGGCCCTAAATAATCTAGCCCCTAGATGCCAGGTACCCCAGATACAATTTTCACTGAACCCAGGGTTCTACGACTACCAAAACCCTATACAGTAGAAGCCAGAAAGTTGGAACATCATTGGCCTCATACCCTAAAGGTAAAGTATAAGGGATCCTAGCACTAATCCTCCTAAAGTCATGTTCCAACTTTCTGGCTTCTACTATAGGTCGCAAGCTGGGGAATTCCGAGGGCCCCGGCCAGCTCGGCTGATCGGAGCGTGCATCGTCCGCCACCGAAGGAAAGGATGGAAGGTTAAGGTTATTTGGGAGTGTATCTTATTTGGGTTGTCGGTTTCCAAGTTTACAGAAGCAGGTACGGGACCCGAAACAATCGCTGTACCCTAGAGCACTATAGAGCCTTGAGGTGCCCTGCAGTATCTTAAAGTTATGACGGGATCGGAGTCTATTACGGTAGGCCTCTTGAGTGAATACACCTCTTAAGGTCATGATACCAGCAATCGTTTACTGAAGTAGCCCCCAACAAGAACTTCCGGGTGTCCAGGAATGTGTGGTTGCTTTTGCTACAGGACTAATCCTTCGATATCGGTTATGGTGTTATAGTTGTTTATCGTGATATTAGTTTGGGTTCAGACCCAAGGATTAATCCCCAATCCCGATCAACTCCAGTATAAACACCCACAAAGTCCATAATGCGGTACCTTGAACCCTGGAACCTGGCACTTTGGGCCCTTTTGAAATCCGGGAACCTCAAACTGTGAGCCCAAGAAACCCATCCTGTTAAAAACTCGTCCAACGATGTCCCATTCCCGAAACCATCGAAAGCCTTCGACCACCCACTCAAGATTGATCCAGGGTTTTAGGCTTGTCTTTCGGACTTTCGGTGATTTCGGATCATTACCTTAAAGAAAAGGGTTAATGAAGTTGTTATTCGTTTCGATTCTATATTTGCAAGACGCTGGAGCAGCAGACCCTATACACATGTATTATACGTGTGTGTGTGTGTGTGTGTGTGTGTGTGTGTGTGTGTGTGTGTGTGTGTGTGTGTGTGTGTGTGTGTGTGTGTGTGTGTGTGTGTGTGTGTGTGTGTGTGTGTGTGTGTGTGTGTGTGTGTGTGTGTGTGTGTGTGTGTGTTATAATATGTATACATGCACATGTTTCTAATTTTTTGGCTCAAAGTGGCTCAAGCCTCGATGGCTGAAGATGGCCGTCACGGTGAAACGTTTGGCTTCCGATTTATAAAGTCGAAGATCGACGCACGTCTCCGACGCACAATACAACGTACCCATGGCGCACGTTGGCGCACGTTGACGCACGTTGACGCACGTTGACGCAGCGGCTTCCTTTGCGCAGCGTTTACGCTGAACGTACTGCAGTGAGAATTAAATAAAGTTCAACCCGTATTTGTTGAAAAGCAAGATTAAATACAAGCCATGCAAAACGGATATCGAAAAGTATATATTTCAAATTAACGCATGCCAGCGCAACAGCATACGTTGACGCACGTTGACGCAGCGGCTTCCTTTGCGCAGCGCTTACGCTGAACGCATGCATGCTCAGGACTGATATTAACATCTATGATAATATTAAATCCATGGGATAAGCAAGCAATTTAGTTTTCTTTCTTAGTTGATTACAGAATCGATTTGGAATCGCATGGGATCCTGTGTATGGCCGACGCAGCCGACGTAGCCGACGTAGGCTTACGTAGACTGACGCAAGCTGACGCAAACCGGCGTTAGCTGACGTAGAACGACGTTAGCTGACGTAGACCGACGTTAGCTTACGTAACCCCGCAGCTGGCGTTGGTATGCGTCGATGTCCTATGTTTAGCTTCGGATCCTATCGGTACTCTGCAGCCTGCCAGGAGTATGGGCTGGACCCGTTCACGCAGCCACTGCAAGGGGCTGCTCGGGAGTACTTACCTCGGCTCCCTATTCAATACCCGCGGCTTGCCCGAAAGGTCCTTGAGGAGATCGCCGAGCAGGGACAGCCTCAGGAGCACGACCCTGTGCTCGGGGCGTTTCACGCTTACCTGCACGGGACTGACGGGAGCGGAGGGACCGAGTTTTCAGCTGGTGCTCCTCCCTTCGTTAGCGGGGAGCAGCGTCACCCCGCCCTTGCTTTATATGGGGGAGTAGACCTTCCTGCGGCTTACTCCCTTTGCAGCCGCAAGCCTTTTCCGGCCACGGGAAGAGGGACCCGGTGCGCAGGGGAATCTCCCCCCAGCGGGGCCCCTCATGCAAGCAAGCACGTTGCCAGGGGGGTATCAGGTTCTCGCCAACGCCGTGCGGCCTTTCCATGCGGGAGCATACACTGATGCCGAACCCCCCAGGCTTGACGAGTCGGCGAAGGCTTTGCAAGCCATTGCCCGCTCGCTTGTCAAAGACGACCAAGGGCAAGAGAAGGGGAAACTGTCGGCCATCGGGCGGCAAGAGGAGCGACTTGTCTTTCTCCTGCGGGGCTGCGACAGCTTGGACGTGCCACTTGCCGCAGGTGTGGTGGGCAAAGAGCTTTACCACAGTTTGCGGGCCGCGGCTACCCAAGCCAGGCCAAAACTACGGCAGCTTAGGTTTCCGGTTAACTTGACCAACCGCCTGTGCTACGCATTGGCGTCGGCAAGCTTCGGAGCCAAGGACGTTAAATCTTTGCCGTTGCATTGTGGGTCTGCCGCGGATTTTCCGCAGACTGAAGAGGCAGATTTCGACGCCTACTCAAGCCCGCCGGATCTTAAACTTGAAGCGCGGCCACGGGGACCCACGACGGTCAGCACTTGGTTGAGGAACGCTTTGAGGCAAGCATGGGGCCTGGCTTGTGTCTACGGACAACAACATTATGCCGTCTGGGAAGCTGCAGCTCTCCACCTGACTAAGCTGGGCGAGGAGCATAGCTACGCTTGGCCGGCGCATGTTATTTTTGATGTGTGGGAAGAGCTCTGGGCCCGATTCTTCGAAGAACTCCGCGAAGTTGACCGTGACCTGCGACGTTTGATGCGAGAGGAGTCCCCGACTTTCGACCGCATGAAATTTGTTGCTACTGCCCGCAATGCCGAAGGGCGGCCCTGGCTGCGGCTTCCGGGAACCTTCCGGCTGGAGGACCCGCGAGAATACTTCACGACCGATGTGCTGGACAGACTCCAACGCCAATTGTCGCGGGCAGCTTGGGCTCAAGCCCTTCGGGGGCCAGCGCGAACCGGCCTCCCGGGAGGAGGCGGCAGGGCTGGAGACGCTTCGGCGGACGGGCAAGCCGGACACCCGGGGAAGGCAGACGACCCGCCCACGCGTGCCGGTGGGGCTGCGAGTAAAGGCGGGGGGCCTCCCCCCGCCCTCATCGGCCCGGGACTAACCCCGAAGGAAACCGCCCGCGCGCTTGAACACAGACCCAGGGATGCTGAAGGGCACTTCCAGTGCTGGGATTTCTTCACCCATCGGGGGTGCAAAAAACCAGACTGCAGCCTGTCGCACAAAGGGTCGGTCAAGTGGAAGGCTCTCGACTACTCCATTAAACTGCAGCTCCTCCGTCGGGGGGGGTTGCGGAGTTCCGCCAAGCGGTCCCCCGACGAGCTCGTCAAGGAATGACGGGCCTGCGCAGGAGCAGGCCGCCAAGGTCCAGGAAGGCGGGGGCAAGCGCAGGCCGGGTCGGAAAGCCAATAGGGCCGGGGATGCGAGAACCCACCCCGAGAACTCGGGCTCGTTCCGAGCCCGGGCAGAGCAACCAGGCTCTCACTCCCGAGCCCCCCGTAGAGCTCCGAGACGGGGGATACACCCTTCAAGAAGAAGGCCTTCGCAAGCTCGTGCAGGGCGCCGACTACAGTTGGTACCAGGATCAGGATCACGGCCAAGGCAAGGCCACTGCCGCAGACTTGCCCGCCGGATATGAATCCCCCGGGCTTGATCTTCAGGAGCGAACCCGTGCAATGCGGGCGGTTGAAGCCTTACTCGCTTCACAGGACCCACCCCTTTCGGCAATGCCGGACCTGCTCACCGTGTTCGTTCGGAACTACCTGCTCCACCACGATTCGCCCGCTTCCCCACAGGAGCGGTTGCAGGCCTGCTTTCAGGTCGCAACTACTCTCGGCGGGCCGGAGTTGGCCTCGCAGGCGGCTGAGTACCTCGACTCCACCCAACGCCTCTCCCGTGCTGGTTCTGTCACTGCAGCTGCTACTGTAGGACGCATCAGCTGGGATGGGGACATTGGCTTCGGGACCTTCGAGTACAATGGAGCTCACTGGCGCCAATTTGATTATCAGGATCGGCTTCCCCTCAGTCCAGAAATGCAAGCCCTTCTAGGGCGCAATGAGACTGAAGAGCCCAAGCAGTGTATGCTGCTCCACGTTGCCGCTGGTGTCCTTTCCACCGAGGGAGAACTCCCTACGCTTGCCGCTGCCCAGCTCTTGGGCCAAGCAGCACGGGAGGCCATGTACCACTCAGCGCGGGAGGTTGAAGCACAGTTGGGGCCGCCACCTGAGTACCTCACACGAGCTGAGGCCGACTTCCGAGTGTTTAACCATGACCTTTTGCACTTCGGCCACGATCGGGACCGCAGCCGGCCTGGGAGCATTTGACCTTTGGCGTCTGGCGAGTGGAGCCGCACGGCAGCGCACTTGTCGAATACCTGGTCGGTAGCCGCTCTGGCCCTGGTGGGCCTGTGGTTTGGTTACTTGTGCACAAAGGGCACATGCGGCTCCTTCTCCCTCCTGCCTCTGTCTCACATCCGTTTGGGCGGGAGCTCTTAATGGTTGGGTGGGAGGAGCCCCACCTTGAGGCTGCCAAGCCTGCCGAGGCCTGCCTTCCGGCCCGGCGTGTTTTAGCTTGTCCGGTCTGCCGGTCCGATGCCCCTGCGCGTGCGTTCTACTCTGGTTTCGTTCCGCCGACTTTTGGGTTGCAACCGCTGCGACGCGGCGGCGTTTCCCCCGAGGCCTGTTTCAAGCCCGGGGCGCCTGTCGCTCCTCAGAGGTTCGCTCCGACCGACCTCGAGCGCCTGTTCGGATGTGAGTCGCTGGCAGGCCACTCGGCCGTTGCTATAGGCTGTCCGGGCCCGATCGTTGGCGCTGTCGCCATCGGCGACCCGTGCTGGGCTTTCGCTGCGGAGCCCAGCGCTCGGGCAGCGCTATTGCAGCTCCTTGACAGCTTCGAGGGCGACCGTGTCCTCCTATGGGTGGGACCAGAGCTGGTTATGCCGGCCGGCCCATTCCATGCTTTTCTCGAGTATTACAAGCTCATATCGCAGCTCGCGGTCAAGCCGGGGCCCTCACCGCCTTTGGACACACAAGACGTTTGTCCTTCTCTCCTGCGAGCGGGCATGGGCTCGTGCGCGCGTCAGACAGCTGCGCCCTCCCACCGGGCGGGGGCGGCTGTCTCTCGTGGCTGGTCCGGGGGTGGCCGGCGAGTGCCTGGACTGGCGTCTCCCGCCTTTGCCGCGGCGCCCGCACCCATTTTGGCGACTGCCGCGCTGCGTCTGCTCTCTGGGATTTTCTGCTCGCTTTTCCTCTCGAACCGCGGGCCTCCTCGGCTCGGGATGGGGGGCGGGGGGGGAGCAGTGCGCCCTGCCTCTCCGCCCCCCCACGGTCTTGGACGGTGCGGAGACAGCTGAGGCAGGGACCCAGCAAGGTCCGACGTTCCCCCGAGCCCCTCAGGGTCCATCTGGACAGGCTGTGCTTGAAGGCACCTGTGACCGTGGCGGGTTTCCCGCCCGGTCGGGTGCGGTTAAGAAACCCGAAACCCGTTTCGAGTTGTGGCCAGAAGGATCACCCCTGGCCGAGCCGCCTTCGGCAGACCTGGGAGCTGCTATCGGAGCCTACTTAGATCTCGTCGCGGGAGCCCCTTATGATCCGAAGAGGTTTGCGGAAGCAGCGCGCCTCGGCACCAAAGCCCGCGCGGCTGCCCCGTCGTTTCCAGAAGCCTTGAGGGCCCTGCGCAGAGAATGGACCTTACGCCAAGGCGACCATTTCAAGGGTCTCTTCGAGGCAGCCCTGGACGAGTTGCTTCCTTCAGACCTGCTTCACTGGCTCAGACACACTGCCACCCAGGGAGTTGACGCCCGCTACGAAGGGGACCGCCAGCGCGTGAGAGCCACGCCGCACCCGTCTCTGCAGGGGCACCTCACCGAGGCGTTCGAGCAGATCTGGAAGGATGTAAGTAAAGGGAGAGTTCTCCTACTTACGTGCCCTGGCGATGCTACTCTTCTTGAAGGGGTGATCTTCGTTCCTTTGGCGCGTGTCCCCAAAATGCTGCCGAACAGGACTGTGTCCGCGAAAGGACGGCTAATATGGGACGCCAGACGTGTAAATGAACACTGCAGCAAACACCGGTATTTCCCGGCGCTGCAGCCGAGACACTCCGAGATAGCAAGGTTGATCCTCTGGTGGCAGACTCGCTTCCCTCACATCCCAATCTATTTGGCCAAGAAGGATGTCAGTGACGCCTTTAAGTGGTTATGGATTCAAAGTGAGGATGGGCCGCTCTTTGGCGCTGATCTGCCCGGGACTGAGCTTGGGCTTCCGGAAGGCGTCACCGCGGTATATACTGCGATGACCTTCGGTTGGACCGGAGCCCCGGGATCGTTTATGGGATTCGCCTGGGGAGTCAAGCTCTTGCATAGCTCGCATACCCCAACCCAGCCGCTTTGGCACGACACCACTGCTTTCAAATCGCTGATGCTAATGGACGACGCCGTCGTCATTGAACCAGCGTTGGGCCTCCGGCCTTGGCAGTCACTGCGTACGGCTGAAGCAGCGGCGCGCAAGATCTTAGGCCCCGAAGCTATCAACCCGGAGAAGGACCTCGAGGAGGGCACGCTCACGTTTGACAAGGTGATCTGAGTCTCTCCTACGATACTCGTGACAATACTGTCTCCCTTCCCGGGCCGAAGCTCGAAAAAGCAGGCCACTTGCTCCTCCTCCCTGACTTCGATCGAGGAAACACTCACCTTGCCCTGCGCCTGGTGCAGGAACTGCGTGGTAACTTGGAGTTCTGGGCAGCTGTCCTTCCCACTGTCAACCCCTACCTGCACTCCATCAATGCGCTCCTCAAACCCCCAGACGAGCAGGGCCGAGCTAACCCACAGGGCGACCCCTCTGAGGTGGCAGCCCAGTGGGACAGCTTCTGGGATACTCTCGATCTTTTGAGGCTGCTTGCGCAAGACCGGGCTTCCTGGTCCACCCGCTTCTCCAACCCTCTGTTTGCAGCCCTGGATACCAATGAGATACTGGCGTTGCCAGGGGTCAGCTCAAAGGTAATCTGGGTCACCGCTGATGCGACCCCCACTCATGTGGGAGCGGTCGACTGGTCAAGTAAGATCGCTGTGGCGCAGACAGTGGGGCAGTTCCTGGCTGCCGTGGCGTTGGCAGGAGCCCGAGCTAAGCTCGAGGCGAGTTTCTCGCCCGGGACTGGCGAAGATGAAGAGTGCGAAGACGACCGCCTGCAGATTGCGCTCGCGGAGCTCGTTGCACTCCTAGTTCTCTGCGCCCATCGTCGGGAAGCTTGGAAAGGATGCATTATCCTCTATGCCGGGGACAACCAGAACGTCATCACCTGGGTCCGCTCGCGCCGCTCTGGCCATGCCGGCGCCAGCTTCTTGCTGCTAGTGCTGGGTGCGCTGGAAGTGACCCATGGGTTCCAAATTCGAGGTGAATACGTTCGCACTTACCGGAACACCACTGCTGACCGTCTCACGCGCGAAGAACCCGCCGGAGTTTGTAAGGCCATGGGACTCACCTTGCTCAAAGAGGACCCCGACTGGGATGCCCTTCTGGAGCAGGGATGGTCCAGGCGGGCTCTGGTTTGGGCGGGTCAGCCCCATTCGGACCGAGGAACCGCGGTGCAGCTGGCTCTGCGTGGAACGCACTCCCCGCAGGAGGGAGACACACTTGAACCTGCTCAGGCGGGCACTTGCGTTATCCTGGGGGGAGCCTTGAACGCACGCAAGGAGGTTGATTTGCTCAGGGCCGCAGAGTCTGCATTGCGCCCACACGCCGCCTTCATCGACCTGCTCCACGACGCCCTCGGTAAGAAGACTACGGGTGGAGCCAACCGCGAACTCACCTACCGCCAAGGGGTCGCTTATGGCCGAGCGCTGGGTGATCGCACGTGGTGGAAGCGAGGTCTTGTCTTGGGCTTAAGGGAGGACTCCGCACCGGGCGCCCCTGAAAAATTGAGCATTGCCTTCAATGCCCTCTCCGCGGCGCCCGAGACCATCCCAGCCTTCGACCCCGTTTGGGCAAATCGGGAGCCCACCACCTGGATAGAAGGGGGCATGTTGAAGGTCGACCCCACCTTCCCCCACCTGGGACCTCATAAGCCTAAACCTTTGGGGGAACTTCGGGGTGGTTCGAGTAGTCGCGCTAGGGAGCTTGTCTTTTCTACTGCACGCCCCCTTCCGGGCTTGCATCAAGGTTCCTGGGAAGCCCAACACCCCGATCGTTTGGTTTTGCTTGGTAAAGGTACTAGTCCTAGGGTTTTAGAACCCGGTGAGGCGGTTCGCCTCCAGGGAGGCAAAGACCCTGAAGTCCCCCTTGACCCTAACGCCGCTAGCACCCTTGCCACCTCGTACCTTAGAGCCACCCCCCTTGCCCTTGCCGCTTGGTCCGTAACCTGGCTCACGTCGTGTTTAGGCACAAGTAGCTGTAGCGAAGGTTCAGGTAGCCTTGTAGGGGAGGGGTGCGCTCACGGGGGTAGGGGAGCGCCGCGGGCCGGAGAAGAGGGCAGCGCTGCCTCTTCCGGGGGGGAGCAGGTTCCCGTGGCTCGTTTCGAGCCCGGGACAAACCCTCCTGACCTCGAAAGAGGCGAGGACGCCTCACTTGCTCCAGAGAGGGCGGGCGCGTGCAGCCTGCCGTGGGAGAGCCACTGCTGGGCCCTGGTCGCTGCTTGGCTCGAGGCTGAAAACAGCCGCTTGAGCATGAGCAACCGCCGCGCCGGAGGACGGCCGCGTGAGTCCTCGCGTGAGAGGACGCCGAGAGAAGAGCGCTCCGGGAGGAACCGCGAACCCGCTGGGCAGCGGTCTCGGCTCTACGACGACGGCAAGAAGCTCACAGCGTTCCTCCGGCACACGGCCCCAGTCGACGTCAACGGCTACATAGCCGTGGAAGAGCTGCTTCGGTTCAGGCGGTTCGAGGGCAGGGTGAGAGAGGCGGTAGCGGCCTCCAACAAGAACCGATTCAACCTGAGGACGTCGCAAGGTGTCGAGCAGGTCGCTGCCTGGTCGGGGCACACCATACGAGGTGTGCTGGGGCCAGCCCAACACGTCGAGGCGGGTTCCCTGCCCGACGTCCTGGTGCATGGAACCTACAGCAGCTACGTGCCGAGCATCCAAGCGGAAGGCTTGGTACCGACGCGGAGGTCGATTCACTTGCTGGATCCCAAGCATCCTCACCGCAAGTGGCGGCCCGACCTTGAGGTAGCCATTTTGATCGCTGCTTGCAAGGCGCAGGCTGAGAATCACGTGTCCTTTAGGCTCACTGCCTGGAGGACAGTTCCCGGTTGGAATTTGCGCCTGGGAACAATTTTTGCCGGGAACAAGGCCAACTAGTTTTCTAAAATGACGTCAATTGTTCCCGGGAACTGTTTCTTGGGGTCACTTCAGAAAGACAGCCGTAACGGCTTTGACATGGGTGATCTCGCAAAACCAAACGATCAAAACCTAGTCCTTAAACATGGTAAAAGGTTGTTAACCGTGTGGGCTCCGCTACCAACGACAGGCATGCCATGATCCCAATGTATACATGACGGCCTTAAACTGCGTCTGCCAAAGATATATAATCTGGGGGGCGAGCCAAACAGACATAAGGCCATGGAATCTTTAAGCATCGACACATAAAATTGGATCCTGCCATATATAACTGGTGACAACCGGCCATGGAGAAATCCAGCAGCACATGCAATCGAGCCAAAATCGGTCGTTCCCTCTCTCTCTCTCTGCTTAGGTTTAGGGTTTAGGGGTATATATGGTTATAACTTATAGGGTTAGGCATGCATGTATCAAATATTTTCTGTATATATATAATATATATATATATATATATATGAGATCGAATGCACGTGAGAAGGAGACCGATCGACGAGAGAAGAATATAATACGTACAGGAGCAGTATAAGTTTTTGTGTTTTCCTGGGAAGGAGACCGATCGAGGAGAGAAGAAAGGAATGGAGGAATGGAGCATTTGCAAACATCTCCTCGGAACTGCAATGCATTGCAATGGGATCCACTCTTTTTTCACTCCCGGGCTAAGTGTGCATTCAGCTGCATCTCGAGCCTCTGCAGTAGTCTGAGGCCGAGTGTACTAGGGTGAACCGCCTGGGATTTCCCTATCGCGCAAACTTTGCCGATCCAGCTCTCGTCGCTCCAACAAGAGGTCAGCAAAGGATTAAGGCGGCTGCCGCCGTGTATTTTGAGGATGACTTCATAGAAATGAATGGACCCTTGGCCGCACTTTGTACCTTGCCCTGGCACTTAGCAGGGCTGCTCTCGCCAGAAAAATGTGGGCACGTACATAGCAAAGGCCACACTCAACCATCTGTGATGCTTCGGTCTCGTTGAAAAAGAGCCCTGCTTTGTCCATCGTGATGCCCACTTGCGTCACGGCCCAGGCACACGTCGCAGGTACTTTAAGCTCTTCCACCTGTGTATCCTCAGCTGCATGGGTCCACTGGTTTTGAAGCTTTCAGTCAAGACCTGGAATTGTTCTTGATATATATTGCAATCTAAGCTCCTGAAGAAAGGCGGCAGCGAAAGCCAGTCCAACCCGGTTGCTCCAGCCTTTTGAAAAACCCAGCGGAAAGTCGTATCGCAGGGCATCCACTGAGAGCTTCTGCAAGCCTTTTGGGCACAGGGGCGGCCAACAGTTAACTGCAATGCGTTTCTCTGTATATTCCAAAAAAACATAACAAATCCGAGTGGCTGAGTTCGTCTATGCATGAACGATCCAAGTTATTCTCTGAAAACCAATCGTGCATTCGCGAGCATAAGGCTTGCAGCCCCTCTTCCCAGGGGAGGTCGCGAAATTCGGGGTGGAATTCCACTATGTCCATCAAGACGGATCCCAATGTGTCTTTCGCCGGCCCCAGCCACAGATTGTGGAGCGTATCGGCCTGCTCCATGTCGGCATGGTAGCCTGGAATGCTTCGGAGAGGAAGCGTGCTCGGCATCGAAGCATCCAGATGCTGTTGCACAAGTGCTGGTTCGTACCAGCTCAAGTTTTTCGCATCCAGCCAGTGCCGGCACTCCACATCGCTCGTGCAGCGACAGCGACGGCAAAAGGTTCGTCCCGTGGTAGGGTTCGTTCTGAGGTTGGTATAATCATGAAGTTCCTGCAGCCACTCCGCCTTCCATTTCCAATCTCCTCGGCCGCAGCAGTACTGAAGTGTTGTGCCGTTTGGCAACGAAGTCGCTGCCGGATCGCTGCATTTACGAAGAGAATTCGCAAAAGCTCTCTGGAGGCTCTCCAGCGTGAGGTTCTTGCCGTTATTGTCGTATGCAAAGTGGGCAGACCGAATCACCTAGCTATGCTTTTCGAGAGGTCATGCACAAGTCTTCAGCAGTGCTGTATCAAGCATGCACATGTAAATTCAACCAAGCATCTGCAAAAGGTAGCTTGTAATGGAGGACATTCTTTCCACGAATGCCCAGACAGCTCCAGCTGAGCACGAGGACGGAGCGTTGTTTCTTTCCCTGCCCCTCGTCCCCATGCACAGCGATCGCGTGAGCTTTGGCCTTCTGGTCCTCCGTGAAGGCTTGCACAGGGTGGGACCTGCATACACGGGACGTGTGCAAAACACGTTTCCTTTCTCATGCAATGCTTGCACAATGAAATGCTGCTGAGTGACCGCCCCCACATTTCGCATGAAGCATGCTTCCAGAACTGCACCCAATTCATGCCGTTCTGCCTAAAATCAGGGCACTCGTACTAATGGCAACAACATGCAAGGCATTGCAACATCACATGATTTGCAAACATGGGGCATCATTTTCGGGGCCGCTCCTCCCTTCATCAGAGCATGCGCCATGTGGTGTGGCAGGAAAACTGGCCATTTTTTGTAAACCATTGTTCTCAAAACATGCCCCTTCTTCTTCTTGGCACGGCCACGGCCCAGTCGACGACAGCGTCCACGGCCACGGCCCCGGCCACGGCCACGATTCGCATTCTCAGCGTCGGCAGTGTCATTGCCGACGTCCTCCCGAGGCCTTTTTTGTGGCCGCAGTAGTGATATGGGCAAGTCCACGTGGGTGATCGTGCATTTCACAGGAACCTCGGTGAGATCACAGCATGATATGCATGAGCCAAGGCGACTATCACACATGCCGGCATGAATAGTGCATAATGCTGAACCGTGCACCCCATCCGATCGCCGCATGGCATTGTGAACCAAATTTTCAGCATGATTCTTGTTCTTGCACGAGCGAGAAGCCCACCGAGAACCTGGGTTCAAAGAGTACTCGGGAATGAATTCCAAACAGGGACACGAGAAACTATCATGCAAGGCCACGTGACTAGCACTGAGTTGGCCCTTGTTGGCATCGATTTCGTCTGCAGCAGCTCGAGCAACCTCCCGGAAATACGAGGCTGGTGCTCCAGTCCCCACTCTCGCGGCGGCCCACCGCATCAACGGCGACTCTCGCAGATTCAGGCCGCCAGGAGTTCGGCCATTCCCCACAGCAAGGTTCTGCCGCGATTTTTTGGCCAATGCCGATGCTCTCTTCAGCATGACCGCACACGACGGGGATCCATATGCACATAGATGGTGCACTGATCATTGTCAGACGGGAATGACCAGCCATGCCCACCAAGCACTTGCACAGCAGTTGTCACACACATGTAGCAGGGTTGACTAACGAATACTTGGTCGGGTTTGAGCTGCACGGGTTAACGGCTATTGATTCGTTAGACTTTCTTGGCAGGTGTTGTAAACTCCACGGGCGTCGGTCTACATGGGTTGCATGGGGTTCCACACAAACCGAAATCGAAGCCCTACATGCATGTCTGCAGAAGAAACACATGCAACCAGAATTCCGCTGCATTGTGCATGCACTCGCACATCTGGGACATGTGACTCTGCAATGCCATCCGGACTTTCTTCGACCACACATGGAAGAATCCCGCGTGCAGCATGAAACTCAAATCAAAGACAAGCTGCGTGCCCCTGATCCCAGGGCTCCATGTTCATCCATGCAGAGCCGTTGCTGCATGCATATTATGGGTATATACTGCCCCTATATAGTGTACACGGGTACATATCTAGCAGGTTCCCACGGAGCCTTTGGAATCGCGAGGCTTGGGCCTACAGATGCCTAGAATCACTCATTCCCTTCCTCATTCTTGAGGTCGGTCTTGCTCTTCTTCTTGGCCGGCATGGTTTGCTGTTTCTCTGCGGTGATCCTCAGATCGAGCGACACATGTACAACACCAAATTAAAGGCATCATGCAACAACACACGAAAAGTCACTCAAACACCAGCTCGCAAATCTGAAAAACTAAACCCTAATTATGTAGGCCTTGCAATCAGCATAATGCACAGCCTAGGCACAGGGAGCGTGCGGTACGTGTGTGTTTCTTGTACAAGTTCACGAGCGGCTTGGCCTTGTCGCACACGGCCGCCACCAAAGTCAATGCATCCTCGGATCCCACGTTGATGGCACCCATTTCCTTGCGGAGATCGGCCAATTGCAACTTCACCGAATCGATCAAGCCCATGAGCTTTTCCTGGCTCTCCAAGTCCTGAAGCCTCGGATGTTTTCAACCCTCTCTGCATGCAGAGTACTATAGTCGTAGTATAGCAGTATACAGGAGTAGTATAGTAGTAGTGTTGTAGCAGTAGTAGTAGTAGTAGTAGTAGTAGTAGTAGTAGTAGCAGCAATAGCAGTAGCAGTATAGCAGTACCATTAGCAGTATAGCAGTAATAATAGTAGTATATAGGAGGCAAGTAGACTAGCACAAAAACTTTCAAACTTTCGCGAAAAAAAGTTTTGGCGGAGCTCCCATGTCGAGAAACTCGGAACACAGGATCGCAGCCTGGCCCTGTGCGTCACTCACAGCTGCCATCCAGCTCGTGACAAACTCCTGGACATCATCAGCACAGCAATCGGCCGGCAGCTCGGTGTACATCTCCTGCATTGTGCAACGAGCCGAATTCGGGGCACGTAACTGGGCACAGGAGACACGAAAACAGCAACAGATGAACGATGGCCGCGGTCCTTCTGAAACTTGGCTTTGGCCTTCGCCTTGGGCTTTGGCTTATTGCCCTGGTTGGCCTTCGGGTTGGCTTTATTCGACTTGGTCGTTCCACTGCCCTGACTCGGCTCCGACGGCTCCTCCGTGACCGTCGAGTCTGGAGCTCCTCGCTCCGGCAGTGCATTCCTCTTGTAGAACAAGGGGTCCGAGTCCATTGACGAGAGGAGCTGCTCCACATCGGCAACCTTACAGCCTACCTCGAGACACACCTCGTCCTCAGCTCTTGGCAAGCACACATGATCTATGAATCGCGAAACAAGACAATGTTGTCTTTGCTTATCACACCTATATGCAATCCAACGGCGATTGTCTTGCGGCGCTCCGTCACAGTCGCATCGTTCCACAAGAGGAATTTCTCCACTGTGGGGTCATTGCGATCTCGCTTGGTGCCCTTGTGTTCGGCCCGGCGCCTTGCGGCGAAGGCGAGGCTCTTGTTGATGTCCTGCTCGAAGTGGGCCAGCACACCCGACCAGCTGACGTAGACTCCTTGATCCACCTCCTGATCGGAAGCATACAATCCAATGCCCCATATTTCCTAACATGCAACATGTTTCTTTGCAAGTGAAATGCACCTCCGTTTCTCGAATGACCTTCATCTGCACGGCTGCTTCGAGGTCCAAGCCCCTTCCGTTGACGGCGACCCATTTCTGGAACATCGACAGTCGCGTGTCACCACCCGCCCTCAGGGAGCCAGCAACAAAACAAAATATGACACTTGAGAACAAAACTGCACAGGACTTTCCAACGGTTTGCGTGTGTAAAATCAATCATGCCAAGGCTCTGCCAGGCTTTGCCAAGCTCCTTGCACACTTCGTTTCTCGCCACGAAGCGATTCATCTTTGCCCAAGCAGCAGGATGCGTCTTGCTCGTGCACTTGAAATCTTCCTGCTGCACAGCTACTTCCAGGGTCTGCATAGCACTGGCAGGAGCAGCCTCGGGCACTGTCACCACGGGCATTGCGGGAGCTGCAGGAGCAGCCTGAGGCACTGCCAATGGTGGATTTGGCACAGCAGGGATTGCGCCTGACTAGGCATCGTCAAAGCTGAACTCGGCACCGTGGCGATTGCGGGAGCAACGGCAGGATCAGCCTTAGGACCTTAGGAGGCACTGTCAAAGCTGGATTGGGCACCGTGGGGACTGCAGCAGCAACGGCAGGAGCAGGCTGCGGCGGCACTTGACTGGGCACAGGATCGAGGCTGGCAGGAGCGGAAGATGTGCTCAGTGGTGGAGCAACGGAAGCACTGGGGGAGTCCAGGCCTGCCAAGGACAACAGCCTCGACAGAAAAGCACTGTCGTGTCGGGCTTTCTGCATCAGGCTCTCCAGCATGTCATTCGAATCCACGGTAGAAGCCGGCGTTGTCGGCGACGTTGTCGGCGGGGTGCTTGGCATCGACAGTTCGGACTCCGATTTCTGCTTCTTGAAGTAAGACGTCCAATAGTTGGCATACTTTGCTTTGTGCTCTGGTGTCAGGACAGGTAAGGCATCCGGGTCGATCGGCGGTCGGCGTTTCAGGCTAGGCCTGTCGACTGCAGGCTGCGTGGGCACGGCCTCGGCTGCAGCCGCAAAGAAAGTGGTGTGAGGGACGGCAAGCATCAGGGGTCGCGGAACAGGTGCTTCGGCAGACACTGCGGCGGAGGCTGGGCTAGCCAGTGTCGGGACAGGTGCTTCGGCAGGTGCTGCGGCGGAGGCCGGCCTAGCCAGTGTCGGGGGAGATGCTTTGGCAGACACTGCGGTGGAGGCCGGGCGGCCGGCAGACACTGCGGCGGAGGCTAGGCTAGCAGGTGTCGGGAGAGGTGTTTCGGCAGACACTGCGGCGGCAGAGGCTGGCCTCGCCGGTGTCGGGAGAGGTGCTCCGGCAGACACTGTGGCGGGGGCCGGACTAGCAGGTGTCGGGACAGGTGCTTCGCCACACACTGCAGCGGCAGAGGCTGGCCTCGCCGGTGTCAGACACTGCGGCGGGGGCCGGACTAGCAGGTGTCGGGAGAGGTGCTTCGGCAGACACTGCGGCGGCAGAGGCTGGCTTCGCCGGTGGGAGAGGTGCTCCGGCAGACACTGCGGCGGGGGCCGGACTAGCAGGTGTCGGGACAGGTGCTTCGGCAGACACTGCAGCGGAGGCTGGGCTAGCAGGTCTCGGGTTAACAGGTGCTTCGGCAAACACTGCAGCGGAGGCTGGGTCAGGCACAGCGGTCGTTTCAACAGGTTGGGCCGGCACTGCGGGAGCAGCTTGGCTCGGAAGGCCCTGCAGGGCTCGCCTGCAGCAGTTTATCTCTAAGTATAATGTTTAGAGATCGTCTGCATGCACATATCAACGACTAAGCCGGGGCACAGTTTCGCTTCGACACTCTTGCGGATCTCCGGCTGCAAGCTGGTTAAAGCTTTCAATGCCAAAGCATCAAAATGTGCCGCATCCTTCGCCTGGGTGTACACCACATGTATAATGTTCAAATGCTCCATGCAGCACCCTAGTTAAACACAGACATATGTGTCGTTGCCGGCCAGTGGCCGTGGGATCTGACTGCAGCTCTTTCCGCTTCGCGGGAGGCATGGTTCAGGATCGACAGAGCTCGAGAAAACAAAATTTCGTCTCATGATGGACAAGATTGTCTGGATGTGCTTCAATGCATGCATGGGGTGGACCGAACGTGCCAGCAAGCATGATCACTCTGCACTCTGCAAGGAAAACCCGACTGAGGTCATCGTGTCGCGTGTGTGTTTTGTCCCAGCCCCATCCCCCGCAGCCCCAAGCCCCTCAGCCCGCAAGCAAAGGCCCGTCCCACGTATATGCCCAGCACTGACCCATCCCAATCCCCACCCCTGGTTCCCCCCCCCAACCCCCCTGCAAGCCCCAGCACCCCGGGTTCCTCACCCACACCACTCCGTGCCCCTGCCCCCCTGCCCTGGTTTGGCTGTGTGTGTGGGTGTGTATATAGGAAAGCACCAAACGGGCTGCATGCATGGAATTCGCAGGTAATTTACATTGAATATATTCACGACCCGCACAATTAATCCTTCCAAACGATGCAGCAGCGTCCTGCTATTCGTCCTGTCTGATTGATCACCGAGAATTCACCATGTAAATAGCTGACTATCACAAAAAGAATTTCCCACGATAGATAGAAAGCCGTATTGGCAGGTCGGGTCGTAAAGCCACATGATTGCTCTGGTAGTCATGCAGCAGCGTCCTGCCATTCGTCCTGTCTGATTGATCACGGAGAATTCACCATGTAAATAGCTGACTATCACAAAAAGAATTTCCCACGGAGGATAGAGAAGCCGTATTGGCAGGTCGGGTCGTAAAGCCACATGATTGTTCTGGTAGTCATGCAGCAGCGTCCTGCCATTCGTCCTGTCTGATTGATCACCGAGAATTCACCATGTAAATAGCTGACTATCACAAAAAGCATTTCCCACGGAGGATAGAGAAGCCGTATGGGCAGGTCGGGTCGTAAAGCCACATGATTGTTCTGGTAGTCATG